TCAGCCGAGGCACCTAATTTTACCACAAAAGCTGCATAAAAATGTGCTGAAAAACTCGGATTATACACGAGTATATACGGTAACTCACTTAAACTCTGCTAATTATTTATAGCATTATAGAACTTCACTGATTTTTAATATGCTCTAGGATCATGTGCAATAGAAGCAGAATGATGGACCACAGTTTGAAGAATGCATCCTGGCCAGAAAGTCTGTTTTCTGATAACCATTCTCTTCCATCTACAAATATGCACATGACCTAAAAATGATGCCCATGTTTCTAGTGCGGTCTTGTGTCTCTAATGTCTTGCAGGTCTCTGTTACTTATGGCTGAAAAGCACTTACTTTGAGCCACCTGAGAGGATTTATGATCAAAATGACTTGAACTCTCTTGTTATGTGCTTCACAGTTTGAAAGTTCCTCTTTCCGTCTAGTTAGCTTTTTTTGTACTGTGTGAGCCCCAGATGATTTCTTTCACAATATCATTTCTTACACTCCTCCTCTTAATCTCCAGTGATTAAGCCTGTATCGCCTCACAGGTCTTGTCGGCCATATCTCAAGTTTTTGAAATGTCTTTGTTATTGACATGGCTTCTGAGGTATTAACATGTATAGTTTGGGTGTTAATGCATTCTTCTGCTCTCGTGATTCTAAACAACAGAAGGATGAAGGAAAATAAAGCAGATATTTGGGAGAAGAGCCTGGCTCTCTGACTTACTGTAGAAAAGGCCTTTAAGCCTTTGCTTTTGCTCAACAGAACAGTGAAGAGTCCTTTTCCTTGTGATTTAATGGCAACCCTCAGATGAGAAGGTTGACATGAGGCTATGATGCGTTCTGTTAAGGCCATTACGTTCCCATTACTCGGCTCTCCGGAGGCTTAGCTTCGTATCTTTAAACTTTATTAACAAGATGAGATTCAGTTTTCAGGATTGATTGCTTCTTAAAGTGCTTGGGGGATTTTGGAAGCAGAATCAACTTAAATGATGGAATTACGAATTTAAAGGAGTTGGCTCTCAAGGAAACACATGGCCTCGTTTGGACTAAACTTTAACCTTATATAGCTCTGTATACATGATATCATATATGATTCTCTGCAAATGCAGAGTAAGCTTAATGGTTCAGTGCCTGGGCCTCATTTGACTTCATCTACTCTTCAGAGTTAAAGAGAAGTGTTCCCCCCACCATGGGCAATTGCTGCAACAAGTTTCCTTGTGGCCGGGCAGGCTTGCTGCCCTAGACAGTGTGGAGCCTCTCCCACCTCCTTCAACAGCCTTTTTCTACCCATAAAAAGCAACCATTTGAGGCCCAGGAGCTTTCCAGTGTGTGCAGGAAAAAACTAACAAACCAACAAAGAAAAAATCCCTGCCTTTGAGTCATTCTGACTCATGGCGCCCCTTCAGGAGAGGGTAGCACCGTCCAGGTGGGCTTCTGAAATCTTAACTCTTCGGGGGAGTAGAAAGTCTCATCTCTGTCTTAATCTCTGCAGAGACTGATCGTTCCCAGACCCGACTTTTCCTCCAGCTCAGTCTAGGGGGACAAAGGCACAGAAGTTCTGAGGCATCAAGTGAGAATCTACTCAGCACAGTCTACATTAGAAAGAGGATTAAGGGAGGTAAAAAAGCGCAAAGAAAACAAATAGACTGAAAATAGTTTGGTGTGGCGTAACCTTTGTCCAATTCAAATAGCAAGGCTGACTAACTGAGGGATAAAATTGCCTCCTGGGTTAACTGTTAACACAGATACAGCACTGTCCGCACTGCACAGACAATTGTTTCCTGAGGTCGGACATTGAAGACATTCATTGTCAACCAAGATTTAATGAGTGACTGACTGCATGGTGCTAAACTCGAGATGGTGCGAATGCAAGGAATGCTTTAAACAAAGCCACTATAATAGACAGGGTGGTTTAACGGGAAGCCAAGGCAATGTATTTATGTAGACCCTCCTAAGATCCTATCTTTACTTTTATATTCATAATTTTCATTATTTATTTATTTTTAAGTAGGACCTCTCAAATGACTTCAGCCTTAGGACGCACAAAACCTGGATTCATTCCTGTAGCTGACAGGGATGACTTGCTGTGTGAGAAATATGACTTTACTTTTGATATAGAGTTGTTCCTTGCCTTCAGGTCGGCACTGGCTTGCATAATAGAAGAGACTGTCGCCTGGGCTTGTGCCACATTCAACTTTTGCTGTGGTTGAATTTAATATCTATTTGAATACAACTTCCACTGAGTGAAGCAAACTTAATCTCAATGAAGTCGGGGTCTTGCTGAAATTGGACCTGAATTTTGAGTGACTTTCCTGGAAGGCCGAGACATGGTGGGAGTTCGGTGTTAGGTGGTTGTCTCTTGTCTGTGAGAACTCCCTCTGAGACACGGGAGCTTCTATCTAGCCTAGGGGTGTATGGACCATGTAAACTGTGTCTTTGTCCTTGTTGTCAAGACTAGCTCTTTCTCAGCGTCTTCCCAGTTCCTGAAAGGATTGAGCACCGTTCTGTGAGCACCACTCTGGAAATGCACGGAAGCCTGAGGGGATGTCATGTCCGCTGTGCCTGGACCTGCTAAAGCATCTTGTTCACGCTCTGCTGCTGCTGTGTCAAGGTGCCCTTCTTGCCCGGCTTCCACTGTGGACACCGGGCACACACTTCTCTGTGTTCTCTTTTGCCCCTTCTCTCCACTTGCTGTAACGCTGACTCCTGGTGACCTGTATGTGTCAGAGTAGACCTGTACTCTGTTGACTTTTCCAGTGCTGACTTTTGAGAAATAGTCAAGGCCCCTTTCTTCCAAGACATCTCTGCATGGACTCGAAGAGCCAACCTTTCCATTAGCAACCAAGCACATGATCTTTTTGCCCTATCTGGAGACTCCCTTTTGTGCCCTAAAGCCCATTGCCATTGAGCCACTCCCTCCCCTCTCCTCGGGAGCCTAAAGGAAGAGCCTCAAATGGTGTCCTAGGCTGTAAGATGTTAAGACAGCGGACCGCTCCGCCTTTCTCCCATGGAGCGTCTGGCAGGTTGGAAACTGGAGCTTTTCTGATGAGCAGCGGAACATTTGAACGATGGTGCCACCAGGGCTCCTTGCGCTCGAGAATTCTCCAGCTCTGCTGCGGATGGGGCCAGCGTTCCATTGTACGCAGGCTTCAGTTTGAGAAGAACTCAGATTTAAACTCTCCGTTCACTCCCATTCATGGGCAATCAGACCATGGGGTGAGAAGGGGACTGTTTCCGATCCATCAGACTGTCTTTGGTTACCATTCTGCATGACCTGTGTGCTTTGGATCCTTCAGGCTCTGGACAGGGCAAGATATGACACAATACCCATTTATAAACTATCAAGGGCTGATGAGGGAGGGGGAAGCGGGGAGGGAGGGGAAAAATGAGGACCTAATGTCGGGGGTTTAAGTGGAGAGAAAATGTTTTGAGAAACGATGTACAAATGCGCTTTACACAATTGATGTGTGTATGGATTGGGATAACAGTTGTATGAGCCCCTAATAAAATGTTAAAAAATAAATAAAAACAAACAAACAAACAAACACACACACACACACACAAAATAAAAAGCCAATATTCTTGTATTCCAAATCCTTAAAACTATTAATGTCTGGAGTTCACGTTTCAAAGACCCGTTTTTAAAAATATAAGAGGTGAAAAGTAGCTTTCTCCGCTCTAGTTTTGAAGTGGCTTTTCCCAGAGGCAGTGAATGTACAATGTCTAGGCTGACTAAACCTGGACCGCCCAGAGACACAGAAATGGGTTAGTAAGTCCCAGTGTTATCTGCCCGCATCTACGGTATTTCAGTGCTGGCAAAACTAATCACAATGAAAGCGTCTGTTTAGACACCGTTTTTTTCCCTTAGAAAATGTTCTAACCCATTGGACTGAATGCTGGTTACTCCTCATCTGCGCAGGGTGGTGATTGGTAATAGGAAATAACATGTTCTTGGTCAAGGGTACTTGGCCATGCTGTGGGTAACCAAGACCGTCTTAGAGTCTTTTTAAGCAGCTAGACTCTCTGAGAGGTGATGAGTTGGAAAGTTTCATTTTCTAAATGTGCTAGATGTCATGCTTCATGCCATCAGGCTGGCTTCTCTCCGACGTGAGCCTCACTCGTGGAGAATGCCCTGTGCCCAGCTCCACTGCATGGCCACAGACTGAATAAACTGTGTCCTGCTTTTCAATGTGGCCAATATATTTTTGAAAGTTCCTATTTTCTAATGACACGACATATGATTTTGAGCTGTTTCATGTTTAATTGGATGTTTCAAAGTATTAAAATATGAAGGACTTTAGAGTATAAGTCTTCAGCCAACACTATGCCATGAAGGCATCTTTAAACAATTTGCCTCATTAAATCAAAGGAGTTCACCTTGAACATGACACTCATTGAAAAAGTATCTGTATGATATCAAATGGACAACCCATCATTAACAGGTAAGACCATGTGTGCTAGAACCAGCCTTTATGTATACTTCACAAGAGATGGTGTCTAAGGTGATTCCCTGCACCAATATAAAACCAAAGATACTCCCAAGGAAACAGAGTGTGTGGCTTGGTTCACACCTGTTACTAAAGTAGGAGCTAAAGATGCCTTCAAGGAAACAAAGCCGTGGCTCAGGTCTCAATCCCGTCCCACTCCTGTCCATCAGCATAGAAGATAACGCCCTCCAGATGAGATCAGAGCCACAGGCATATGAAGTCTAGGTTCATTTGATATATCAAATAAGGAACCATGGATAGAAGGACCATACTAATTGATGGTAGCTCTCACATGCCATCATGTATTAATTTTTAAAATACTTATGGAATGGCTATTTTGGGCTAGACACTTTAACAGTCACACTTAAGATTCCAATAAATCCAATAAATTCCAAATACATTCCAATTTTCCATTGATGTATGGTCTTATTAAAGAACTTAAACTATTTTATAAAGTAGATAAACTTCCTTTTTCATTTCTGTGCACAGTGAAGACATGCTTTGTTAAGTGTTACATGAATAGAGTTGTAAAACAGGTATACATTTCATTTTAGACTTGTGTGTACTCACAGTTTGTTCAGCTATTTAAATTGATTTTTTTCCTGAGTTAGGTGAAAAAATGTAGCTATTTTATTATAAACATATATCAGTGACTTAGATTTGCTTGAAGATTATTGTGAAGTTATTTACCACCTAGCGGTCATATAGAATTATAGTTGCTTATTAAGGTAGTCCAAGATAAAGGTAAGAATCCTTAATAATAATTTTGAGGTATGGTACATTTGATTGTAATCTAGTTGTACAACATTGTGGAAAACTGCTCATAATAGGAAAAAATTCCTTTGGCCTCCTCTATTATCTCGAGAACAGGTCAGCTATTTATGTATGGCTTATGTCACTAGGTGATCACCAAAATAAACAGGTCTATTCAGAGCCTATTTAGATTAGTCATTGCTAATTATCTTCGGTTAAGGTTTTAATCATAGCCAGTGATTTCCTGTTAATGCCTTGAAAACATGACAACCAACTCAGTGAGGAGGAGCCAGCCCGAGACCTCGCAGTGATTTTAAAAATTGTTTTATGTTTGCTGTTGAAGCTGTCCACAACAGAATGTACAGCAATTCAACAATGTCTGCTTTCACCATCAGTGACTTTGATTACATTTTCAAGTTGTGAAATCACTCTCACCCTCTTTTTCTGAATCGTTCCTTTGCTGTGAATATAAACATATGGCGCCACACATTTCTGTCTCATCTTTTGCGTTGCTAGCGTCACTTTGATCCCAAATAGGTATCTCCTAAAAGAGCCCATTGCTCCAGGAAAGTTGTTCTTTACTAATGAAGCTAAATAAATCATTTGGTTTGGACATGTTATCAAAAGGCAACTGCTTGCTAAAGTAGAACCAACCCACCCACCCACCCCCAAAGCTCACTGTCACCGAGTCAGTGTTGACTCAGCATGACCCCATAGGGTAGGGTAGAACTTCCCCTGTGGGTTTCTGAGACTGTAAATCTTTACGTCAGTAGAAAGCGTCATCTTTCTCTCACAGAGCAGCTGCCTGTTTTGAACTCCCAACCTTGTGGTTTGCAGCCCAGTACATAACCCTCTATGCCACCAGGGCTTTTTTTGTAAAGTAGAAGGTCAGTGAAAATGAGAAAGACCAAAACCAAAATGGATTGGCACAGTGGCTCCAACAATGGGTTCAAACATAGTGATCATGGGGACGGTGCATGAGCGAGCAGTGTTGTGTTGTGTTGTACACAGGGTCCGCTGGACGAGTTGAAACCAACTCATGACATCTAACAATATTGTTTGGTCTAAAGAAGACTTTAGGGGATTATAAATCGTTATTTAGTAAACATCAAAATTACTAGGACACTGCTTGCAGTTTTGAACAAACAATAATAAAATATTATTATTTTGATTTCAGATGCGCTCGGTAAGCCGAGTCTTTAGGTTTATCGACATGCCAACTGAAGAATGTAAACCTGCCCAACCAATCAAGCCATTTAAGGATGGCCAGCTCTCCAAAGTGATGGTTATTGAGAATCAGCACGTCAAGAAAGAGGACACCTGGCCTTCAGGGGGTCAAATGACCGTTAAAGACCTCACAGCAAAATATACAGATGGTGGCAATGCCATATTGGAAAATATTTCCTTCACAATTAGTCCTGGTCAGAGGGTGAGCATTAATCATTCCCTGTTTTGTTAGACCTGTGTTCAACAAATGAATTCCAGTCACTTAAAGCAATGGATGAGTGGAATCTATTTATCACACCACTCTTATGAATAAGGACCGATAGTAAACATACCTATCTCAAATTAGATCTATAACTATATAATTGGGTTGATATTTTTCATATGAAATTTAATGTGCAGAGTCCTGAAACTGTATAACAGGTCAATTTTACATGTGACTCAGCTTGACAGACATCTAATCAATTGCTAAATTACTAACTGAAGTCGTTCTATCAACCAAGCTTATGAACTGTTTTAGATTTCACTTCTTGAGAATACCTTCCATTTTAGATAACAGAAATATTTTGTTGTTGAGTGTATGCATGCGTTTCAAATTTTACCCCAATTTACACTTTCAAACTAATGCTACTTTTTTCCTTTGTATATTTCAGTTATTTGATTACAGTTTTTCTCCAAGATAGGAATTGCTTATGTTTTTCCCCAAAAGTCTTGAGAATATATTTAAGACTTACTTACTAAGCAAAAATAGCGATCCCAGAACTGAGCTGGACACAAAGAAGGTTCTCAATATCCATAGGTTCGAAGACGGATTCTTAGAGAAGGGTGCTCATGCTCCATCTAGTTCATGCACTGTGAGCATTGGCCAGGGGAGCAGGAGAGAATCTAAGACTTCACGGACTTATAACTAACTCTTCATTTTCATAGCGAAGTCTAAGATATGCCCGAAAAGTCAAACAGAGTGGAGAGGAAGGCTGTGCAAATTTTGCAGGACAAGGAATTGTGCTGTGAGCAGGGAGAACCTGCTGTGTGTAACGTCCGCTCTTTGTGTTTGTATCTGTAGAGCCTACTATTTTAACACAGGTCTTTTGTGTGTATAGAATGAGTGCGTAAGCTAAGCTTCTCATTGTGTGTGTGTGTGTGTGTGTGTGTGTGTGTGTGTGTGTGTTTCTTTATTAGAGTCTGTTCTACAAGGCTACCTTGGACTCCACAAGTGAAATAGGATTTCCCTCTCTGATGGCTCTAGTAATTAAAGGACTAGGGTTGGATGAATTTGGGGGAAAGAGAACTTGTTCAGATAAAAATACTGTCTGGAGCCAGTCAGTGTGCGGAGAAAAGAAAAAGCTTCCTCCTGAATGTCTGTGGCATTCTGTCTTTCAAATTGCAAACATTTTCGTCACTCTCCTCAAAATTATATCATATGAACAAAATGTGTATTTACCTAACTATTCAACTTTGGTGTTTGTTTTGTGATACCTTAAAGTGCTGTTTTCTCTCACCTAACTTTGAACAGTCTGGGGCAAGGAGGTCCCTGGGTGGCGTCAACAGTCATGTGCTCACCTATGAGCTAGCAGGTTAGTGGTGAACCCTCCCGGAGGTGCCTTGGAAACTAGCCTGGTGATCTGCTTCCAAAAGGTCCCAAAGCGATGGGGCGGTTCTACTCTGCACGTGCGGAGTCCACTGGACCCAGAACGGCCCCACCAATTCACGAGAGGAAGGACTGACTGTGGTTTTCCTCTCTTGAGTAACATGTGGCCTAATGTGTTAGTCCGGGTTGACTAGAAAACAAATTCATTGACACTCATGTATGTGTAAGAGAGAACTTTATATCAAGAAGTAATTATGCATCAATAAAACACCCCAGCCGAGTCCATATCAAAGTGGCTCAAATGACAGTGGACACATCTCCAGGGATCAAGCTGCCATCATTGTGGCTCCATGTGGGTTGTCAACAGGAAGGTGTCAGAGAGAGAGAGAAAGATAGAAAAAGAGAGAGAGAGGCCCGCCTCTTTTGATGGTAGAATCAAGAGAAAGAGAGTTCCCAGAATCCTCATGAGAAGGTTACGCCCATAAAGAGGCATCAGGCCGTGACCTGACTGACAGGCTAGGCTTCCCCCCTTCATTCTTATTGATGAAGTTGGCATGAAACTGTGTAACTACCACACTGAGTATAGTATATGTTGAGAGAAGGACGGACGGACGGATGGAGATGGATGGATGGATGGATGGATGGATGGATGGATGGATGGATGGATGGATGGAGATGGATGGAGATGGATGGATGGATGGATAGATTAATGACATATATACTTCAGGGTCATATGCTTCATTAAAATAAAAGCTGGTTCTTAAAATGTGCTGAAGGGCTTTCTTAAGAATGCCATTTCTACTGCCTTGCCCTTAGAACTTATAATAACATCTTGCAAACCCTTAGTGAGATATCCTAACCATGTGTCCTGTTGAATTAAGAAGAGAGCACTTAACTTTAGTATACTGTTTTGCATATTCAAAAACACTGCAGGCTCAATGTGGAACTGTTCATCTTCTTGGGGGAAAAGAAGCCACTATAATATGCTTACACGGTCTAAAACATCTCGTATTTAATTTTTAATAGATTTCGGTTTTCTCTGTTGATAGGATAAAGATGGAAAAGGTCAATATTATAGTATAAAATTATTCAGCCTGTGCATTAAAACATTTTGTTATAGCAGTTACTTTTGTCATTAGTTGAGGCCTTCAGTTCACAGAACCTTTGCTTTAGATTTATTGTCAGTGCATGTAAAAGGTAGCAACTCTTTCATTTTTACTTTTAAAACTTACTTGCCTTTTAAATATCACGTGGCATTAGAAAAAAAAAGGCATTTTTTTGTCTCCCCACTTTTGTCTCCCCACTTTGGATTTTTTTGTCTCCCCACTTTTACTTCTCAAAACACACACTGGGATTTTAATGTGGGCCCAGGTCCTTCATGATAAACCTGGATTTTTCAAAGTGCATCAGATGTATATGAAGATATTTCAAAATGTTCCCAGAAAAATGGAACTAAAAGATAATGGAATTTTTTTAAGTGTCACTGTGCATGGGTTTACTTGGTGTTTTAGTTGGTAGAACAGATAGTTGCACTGTTTTTATGTAGGTCTTCTTATATTATATGGCAAATACACACTATTCAGATAAATATCGTACACAAAATAAAATCCTTAGGACAGTTATGCACAAGACATGCAATACTGGATCTACTTTACACACTGGAGCCCAAGATGGGACTGGGGGAAAGAAGCTGGACTTGGCTTGTTGAGTGAAGGTCCCAGAAGTTCTATCACACACAGTAAACACCTTGATGGTGGGTTCTCGGAGGTGGAGAACAACTGTATGCTAACCAATACAGAAGGACACATGATAAGTATTCACTCAGGATAGTGTTGTCAGGCTTTATGGCCATTCCTCAGGTCTGACTTTAGGAAACGAATGTTTTCCCTAGATCATCATTTTACTGCTTTAGTCATAGAGCAGATAAAGAGAGCAACATGAACACCCCCCAACTAACATCCATTTGCAGCCCAGACAGTGAAGTGCTTGGTACAAGCCTTTAAAACTACAGCTCTTTTTGGATCCCCCAAAGTATATCTGCACTTGTCTCCAATCAGGGCTCTTCCTCAGGAGTCAGTCACCTTCACCACGTCTGAGATTCCATTCTGTCCCAGGATGCACAGGCCACTGAGGAGGATGTCTTCGTTTATACCCTAAAGTCCCTTCATCACGGTGGAAAGGGGATGTACCCGCCTGAGATTCTTCGTTGTACTCTCTGCCTAATGGAATTTTTTCACAAAACTTTTTGGAGCCTCTTCATACTATCATATGCCACAGTACTGGGCATTAAATGTACTCTGTCTGAGCGGATAATGAATCGTTTTCCAAGTTCTACTGTTTTGAATGAGTTTAGCCGCCTTCTCCATTTACTGAAGAAATGCCACGAACCATTCACTGCCATGCCAAGAGTTCAGATCAGACAACGGATGTATTCAAATGCCTCTTTGGCTTGTTGAACGCATGTGACATTGTCTGTCCCAATGAAATTTTGTGAGAAGTAGTTCAATCATTCAATCTTTTATATTGAACATATGACTCTATTTTATAATAAATAGGGGTACAGGTTTAATGACCTTGGAGATTGAATGTCATTAGATTTGAGATCTTGATTTCTGGAAACCAGCGGCTGTTGAATTATTAAAATGGTAAATAAGACATCCCAAACGGAATGTACTGAGACTGTTCTATCATTCATGGTACAGTGCAATTACAATGAGCACCAAACTCAACACTGTTTAACTCTTCAAATGGTATTTTGATTTATCCTGATCCAAAAATCTCAGAGAGGAGGTACACTGACATTACTAGAAAACCATGGCTTGGAATTAGGATATGTCTTAAAAGCCGACTTACAGGAAGTACTCTAGCCCTATTCAACAGAGCAATGAGAGACCTGGACAAACAAATCCCGGAAAGGAATTGGTATGTGCCAATTACTACATCCACAACAAGACTTCGTTAGGTCTGAGCCAGTGAGACCCGTTCTTGTTGGGAGCGAAGTCGGACTGGGTGCATCACGGGCAGCCCAGCACGCCAAGGAAGCCGGGGCAATGGCCAATGCTCTGAAGCTCAGCAGAGATTGTTCCAGTCACCTCTTCAGCCACTCTTACCTCGATCGAAGTTACATTTTCTAAAAATGCCACTGTTTGCTTCTGGAAGACAGGGTGTGTGGTCATTTATCTTAGTCATTTGACGCCTGTCTAATTATTTAGGAATCTGAGCCCCAGAGCATTTTTTTTACCCGAGTTTCTCAAAAAGCCCTCCTGTTTGGACTTGTCTTCTCTTCCCACGTGCCTTTCTGCCCAGAACATATTCAAATTTCATGGATAAAGCTTTAAAGTTTATGCTTGAGAAGCCATATAATACAGATCCTATGTTTTTGCAACATGTCTGTTTTATAAAGGGAAGTGTGCACATGAAATTTCAGAAATGTGGTAAAGTAAAAGTTATCTGGTCATTGTCAAAATATAACTAAATCGATTTTTTAAGATCATCTAAGTAGGGCTGTTCATTCACCTGCCCATCCATCCAACCATCTATCGATACATACGCCTGACTGTCCCTAAAGCCATACAGACACTGCGGAGCACCCTTTATCAACCAGTCACCATGTCAGGTGCCAAGAATCCAGGGGAAAACAAGAGAGATGAGTCTTCCGCGTTGCACGTGTTTTCTTGGGGTGAGCACCAGCAGTGAACAAGGAAACAATGAATGAAATAATTACTGACTGTGCGTTGTTTTTAGAGGAACTCAGCAGGGAGTCGTGAATCATATTTGGTTGATCTGGGCTTCTCTAGAGTCTCAGGGAACAAATATTTGTGAAAATCATAGTGTAGAGCTTTTATGATAGATAAGTATCTTATTATCTTACTAAGTGATCCTAAAGGTGAAGTATGTTACCAGGTACAATAAGTGTTCAATGACATTATTATTATTGTAGTTCATTATGCGCCCATGATGGAGCGACACCGTGGCTGCACACGGCCTCAAACCTAACAACGGGGAGGATGGCGTCGGATCAGGGAGCCTTTGATTCTGTCGTCCATACAGTCACTCTGAGTCAGAACTGACTTGATGGTCCCTCACTCAACAACAACCATTTGGTACACATTCTAAACAACGTACTGTGGTCCATGGATTGGCCTTGGTTTACCAATTATTACTTACATTGGGAGTCACCATTTTTAAAAAGGACTGATTTGAAGTGGATTAGAAATTTTAAAACAACACAATCCAAAGTTGTCGTTCACCACAGAGTGTGCAAAGCCCCACTCTAC